TCGTTCCGTATTGAAAAATGTTTTTAAAAACTATTTGCTGTCATGCTGAGTAAAGAAAATTGTCGTATACGATCGTCATCTATTTATGTAACGCTGATTACATTACATCAACAAACTGCTAGTTATACGGATATTTTAGTTCGATGTCTCGTATTTTATCAATATAGCATAAATTTTTGCAATTAAGTTTTTATACACGTCTTTCATGCGACATCTTTTCATGACATATTAGCTCTAGTTTCAAGCATCCAATCATAGGTAGCTTACTCTTTCTATTCGAGTCGTTTTTATTTGAATAAATCATACTTATACATAATTTATACAAGGTAACGCTCGTCTATGCCCGCTCGGCCCCTTGACTTTACGAACTTATATCTACGAACAACGTTTGATGACTTTGAATCAAAGAGAACATTAATACTGGCGCTTAATGAAGGTTGCCGCTCTATGTAAATGCAGATTTTCAAATCTTTTTCTTTTGTGGATTCTTGCTGCCACTATTGAGATATCTGCAAAAAGATTTTCAGATCTTCATTTATTTACAGCTAATTTCCGTCGAGTCAATTGCGTTTTTCCGATGCAACAAACGTGCACAAAATACAAGTTTTTGTCAGCAGTCCACAGACTATATTTGTCGTTTTCTAGAAATTTCCTGAAAAAACATTCTTTCGACTATTATTATGTAAGTCATGCAGCTAGTCAAATGAAACGTTGTATGCCAATTCGCTGAGAAAGTCGAAATCAACACCTTTCTCCGTTCTTTTCTAATCAGTATACACAAATGAATTTCACGTTATTTTTAAATTAACGATTTGTATTTTTGAGATTATTATTAGAATATCAAGTATATTTAGATAAAATAGCAGAAAAATTGTTTGATTTTCCACAAAATATGCATGATGATTTGAAAGCGCCTCATTTTCGATTTGAACACAGGTTGTCGATCAATAAAGCACATCAGTACCACCTATCGATTGATATCGAGTAAGAAACGGTCTTTTTAAAAATGACAGCAATCAACCATCAAGAACATTTTCAAATCATAGCTTAAGCAGCATGTTTCAGTTCCAGTACTGGAACTGAGCGTAGGAAGTACGCAGTTCTGATACATTCTTACAACATTTAACATCGATTAAATTACATAATGTTTCTCTACGTTTGAGCAAATAATTATCGACCAAACAACATTTCAAGAAGGTGTAAATTCTCTTTTTAATGGTTTTCTCTGCAAACAGTTTTCTCTTCCTTCCATTTTATTGTCAATAACTAGAATAAAACTTTCAGGATCAGTGATTTGTTTTTCTTCATTGCTTCCTTTCCAATTTCCCTTGCTTCGGTATCTTCTACAATAAATTCAAGTCGTGTGCAGTGTGTATGTATATTCAGCTGCTATTTGTGTTAGTTTATTTTTTCTCTCTTATTGATTTCTTTTTATTCTATTTTAATCTGTTTTTACTTTGTTTACTTGTCTCAGTTACAAGTGATGTTTGATGACTCTTACTTCAGAGGTGAACAAGATAGATTCCAGAAAATTTTTGGCGAAACACGATCAGATGGGACGTTAAAAAAGTCTCGTCTATCCTATCCGTGTCTCACTTTTCGTGAGTAAACTAGTCTTAATCTTAGATATATTCTTTGCAATATTGAACTATTAGTTTTATGTCAGTGCTGTTTATAGATGAATTCAAAAACCGACCATCCAACATATGACAACAGCTTATTATCCTCTCAAGTACCTGGTCCGGTTGGATTATTACCAAAACTGGTAAGAAGAATAAATTTGTGCAATCAAGTGTTCTCATAGGCTTTTTACTGTCATTTTACTTGATTAGAAATCAGCCGACGAATTAAAACGTTTAAAATTCGACAAGATCAATACCGATCACCCATTTCTTAATGATAGTCAGTCGACACAAGTTTCAAAAAGACAAAAAACCGATACAGACGTATGTAAAAGACCGCTTTCTCATGTAAATATCTAGGTTTTTGTTTAGTTGTTTAGTTTGAATGTAACCAACTATCCAACATATAATCATGCCTTAAAACAACTGACTAGTTTGTTTAATTGTGAACCAGTATCAATCAATGCTGCAGAAATGAAGGTTACTAAAAATACAATTGCTGGTTATACGGATATTTTAGTTCGATGTGATTTGTTTTTAGACACGTTTTGGTAGTAATAAAAAAATTCCATTAATGTGTGTTACTGTCACAAAATATGATAAACATGGTGTTACGATTCTACTTGATAGATCAGGTATTTATTATAGCTACTTGTTTATCTTTTTGCGTCCATTTGTTTCAAAATCATGTTCTAGGTGATATTCGTGCTTCATTTGTTGGCGATGAAGATCTACTCGAGCATTTAAGTATTCATATTGGAAACACACTGCTTCTCAGAAAGGTAAAGTTTTTTATTCATTTTTCCAGATATATATATTTTTTTCAATTTTAGGTTTCGATTTATACATCATCAAATCGTAATGACCATTATATAAATATCATACCGCATAATATAATCGCTATACAAGATATATCGCAAACTGATTTTATTTATCCAATTTCATTTGAAGAAACAAAAAATGATTTAAAATATATTCAAAATGAACTGATTGATTATTTTGATGCTACGAAAAATGATGAAACATTTCATATTCTATCTCAGTCGCAACAACAGAAAGGAAATGAAGTTACAGTAGCCTCTTCATTTTCAGCAATCAATGTCAGCAAAAACAAGCGAAATTCACTTCTATCAGAGCAACATGTACAATCATCATCAAATACATTAAACAAAGTTTCTAAACAACCGAAAGAAACAAGAAACGGTATTACGCCAACAAATATGAACAAAAACATTGAAAACAATATTTTACATCAGCAGTCAGTGGTAGACGATCAAAATTCAAGTAAAGAAGTTGACTTAGTAGAGAATATATGGAGATACAAACACTCCGACTACACTACGCCCTTAATTACGATTAGCTTCTTAAGTGCATACCACTAGATTCTGTACTTTGGATTAAAGGCGTAGTGGAATGGTAGTATAAACATCTTTTTAAAAATGAAAGGAGTGAAATTCCTTCAAAAGGACGAGGAATAGTCATTCAGTCATTTATTCTTAGGTATAGACACTGATTTGAAGCGAAAGAGTTTGCTATACATCTACAATAGTTTTTATAGTCAAGGTTATAGTTTGTGTATCAATAAGATCTATAAGAATTTTTTTTATTTTTTTCGTTTTAGATAAGATAAGTTCAATACTGGATTTGGATGATGATTTTTTCAGCGAATTTTGATACTGTTCGTGTAATTATTTATTTTTGCCAGATATTTCTTATAGTTCTAGTCAAACAGATGGTTTCTTTTATACACTCATTGAGTTCATATTTTACCATTAATCGTTTATTTAAGCTGTATTATTTTTCTACGTTACTTTTCTTTGTTGTTTCATATTTTTTGTTACTCTAATAATAAATGCTGTGTTGATTAACTCTGACATTATGTTTTAGATGATGAGTCATTTTGTGCCTACTGATATTTCATTAGAAGTTTAGTAAGTGTCTGTCTGTGCCCATACAAAAACTGGTTGACCATATCTTCGATTAATTTTGAGTAATAAACTAATAACTCATATTTGAAATTGGAATATTATAAAGCTATAAATAAATAAACAGTGCAGTGTGCATCAAATAAAGTCTATGTTTGATTTATAAGCACGAACCTATTAGCTCAAAAATTAAACGGTAAACAGTTACCAAACTTTTAGCGGAATGTGCATGAACGAAAAATTCTTACAATCTTAAATTATGAGTTTGAAGAAATTATCAGAGTTTCCTACCAATCGAGTTAATATTTTTTGGTGTACGATAATGTCAGTAATGTTTTTTTAAACCATTCATTTATCCTATAGAAAGGTTAGATCGTTCATTTTTTGTTAATTTTAACACGATCCAAGACATCCAGTGCTTTATAACCATGTTTTTGCATCTGATCTATGATTAGACGTGCTTCTCTAATTCGTATACCCCATGGTATATGCTGGAAAATTTGATATATCTTTGAAAAACAAACGAACGTTGTTCTGTTTTGTAAGTGAAAATTTATTGAAACTTACCTGTAATGCTATCATTAGTGCAATACCTGTTACACGAATGAACCAAAATAATTTTAACCTTGGACCTGCTTTTAGTTCGCACGACTGGGGACTCTAATTAGAAAATTTCAAAACAAGCATTCATTAACAACAATCAGGATAAAATTTGTTGTTGTTGTTGTTGTCGTTAAGAAATCGCTTATTTACTTACCGATAACTCTAAAATAATACAAACGATACTGACTGAACAGATATAACTTTGTTCTGGCTGGGAGTAATCAACTTCGTGAATAACAGAATCATAAAGAGAAGTTATCTATCAATATTTCAATTTTCTAATGTTTGAGAACTAAGCGGTACATACCATTACATCCCAACTAAAACAATATAGGAATGGTAAAATAACTTATTGATTTGAAATAATATCTTTATATACTTTGTTTTGAATATTAATATCGACATAAATTTTTTTCATTGTCGTTTGATGTACCTGATTTAAATGAGAAAATATTCTAGATTTTAACCATTAAGTCTATTCTATTTCCTTCGCTTGTGCATCGGGTCACTGACTCACTTTATCACCACTTCTATATATTATAACAGCAGTGGCAGCCTGACTAATAACACTTACAAAAATAATTGAACAACCCTGAAATACTAGAAAACTTTCAACTAGAGTTCGTCTAGACACATCAGCGTCCATTTCGCCTTTGTTCTTACAAGAATGATTAACCGATAAGACAGGTGAGTGACTCCTACTATGTTGACAAATGTTCCCAATACCGTGATGCTGTATGTCACAAAGAGTGCACTGCATTCCTAAAACGAAAAATAGCCTTTCCTTTTCTCTGTACAAACAAATAATTGCGCGTTTGAGGGAGAGACACAGTACCGTTTTCAAATTTAACGTTGCTGTATCATTTTTCATTAAGTCAATAACGAGATCTGATTTGAATTTATCCGTAAATAGAATGTAAATACAAACAGTTAGACAAATGATAGATGCAATCTAAAAGACAAGAGAGAAGTAAAGAACGAAGTTCTCGTATCATGGCTGCTCCCTTCACCACATTTAGTTTACACAGTAAACTGGATACTGACCAGCATCAAAATGTGGTTTAAAACGACGTTACAATGAAGACATCGACCATATTTTAAGAGCTAAATGAATAACATTTTCAGTATAATTCTTGTACTTGGTGTACAAAACTGAGATCCACCTCAATTGTACTGCATCCTCTAACTCCTTTGTGATGATTCATCTCAATCTGACATAAACATTCGAATTGTATGTCGTTTGTTTTATTAATACAGTCGTTTCTTTTATTCAAACATATAGTATTTAATCATTCGTGCGAAAATAATGTTTATATGTGTGAAGTATTGTGTAAACATTTACAAATATTAAAGTTTTGAAATATAAATTTTCATTAGAAAAAGGCGCATATAAGGTGTTTGCAAACCATTTACACCGTCTGAACATAAAATATGGCCACGCCTATATCTCGTGTAATCAAATTCAACGGTTTTTGCATGGAATATTCTTCATAGCTATAGCTAGTTAAACTGCTAAAACTAGTCCTTCAACTATTGTTAATATTGAGTCATTGAAAAGTAGTATCGTGTTTTTACTAATTTTTGCCTTGGATACACTCAGTAGCGACAAATAAAGCCTATTTTTTCCTATTAAGCATGCATCTGTAAAAATTATTTTTTAGGTGATTAGAAGCCTAAGAAAATGGCCTACAAAATGTGGTATTTGATTTGAATAAACTGCTCCTCTTTTGATTGTACTGGCTCAAAATGTGCGTGATCACAGATTTGGCTAAGCATGTCCCATCACGTTATAAACCGTTTTTCCCGAAACGAAAACGGGAATAAAACTCTGCTCAAATTCCTCGCTAAATGTCCCCGTCACGTTTATTTCTTGCTTTTGCTATATATCGTCATCAGTGTGACCCTATACAAATTCCTTCTTATCAGAAATACAACGTGGGATGCAGAACATTTAACCAAGTGCTTAAGTCTCAATTCTTTGCAGACTTACAATACAGCCTTATTATATATGAATCGATAGCTTTCAAGGCGCATCTAATCTCTCTCTCTCTGGACTCTTCAATACTTATACCCGCATTCTTAAAATATCGGATCCGTCTTATTGTCACAATGCATGGAAACCATCGAGGAATCATGCGTATACAATACTGCCTGAACTTGATGAACGGAGTTACTTTTGTGTGGCAAACTTTGAAAAATTAATATTGCATATTTTTATTCGATGGAAACATTGTCATATTCTTCCGTCATCTTTTAGCGAGATAGAATATGAATGCTTATTGTGGACTATAAACAGCTGAGGAATGTCTTCTATACGGTGGTTGTCAACTATCAATTGGAAAGGATTCGTCCGAGGTGGTTGGTGATTCAACTTTGAATTTTACTGTTTGGTGTTCATTGTCATTATTTTTTATCAAACTCAAACTAATATCTGTTCCATTCAAACGTTTTTCATAAACCATTTCAGATAGTTTTTCAATTATTTCTTCTGATGGATCATCGTTTTCCTGACCATCATCCATGTATGTCATTGAGAAACAAACGCTTAAATTTTTCTTAATTAAACCGTTCTCATCTGAAAGCGCTTCTTTTGACTCGTCTTCGACTTCACGTGGGTCTTCATCAAAGCCACCATTCTCCTTGGCACCAGATTTCCTAGTATTTTCCTCTATTCTTGCACGTGCATCTGGATCAGAAGCGTCCACATTATTCTTCAATTGACTATGCCATTCTGATTCTAGATCTGAATGAGTTTTGTCATCATCATCCGAATAATCGTTAAACTCAATCTCATCCGAAGTCTCTTTGATATATAATTTTCTTGTATATACACGTTGATATCGATCAACCAATACCGAGGCAAGCATTCCGATTGTTGCTGTACCAGAGAAAGCACACAAGCACGCTAGTATACGACCGGCAGCCGTTATTGGATACAAATCACCATATCTAAAGGAAAAAATGTGCGCAATAAATGTACAGAAAATCAACAAAGCACATACCCAGTTGATGTTATTGTAATGATACCCCAATACGTAGCTTTTGGAATACTATCAAACATTTCGCCATTCGTCGCATTTTCAGCAAAATAAACAGCCGCCCCAAACAGAAATGCTAGCAGTGTCAATATCGCTATCATAATAAGAAAATCAGGTAGTGATTCTTTGGTAGCTGCTGCTAGAATTCTTAATGATTTGAAGGCTCGAAATGCACGATATATTTTGAATACACGTGCAAAACGTAATATTCTCAATAGTCTTAAGCCAACATATGTGGACGTATCAATGTCATCTTGTGTAGCGCGTAAATTTATTCCTAATGTAACGTAATACGGTATAATAGCTATCAGATCAATCCAATTGAGAATACTTTTAATAAAATCCCAATAGGATGGTGTACTAACAAGACGAATTAGAAATTCTAACGTGAAGAAAAACACCGAAATTGTTTGAATAATAAAAAACGGTGAATAAAATAATGCAGAACATATCGGATACGATATTTTTGTTATATTAAGTTTTAACGATTCATTCCTCAAACTTTCATATTCATCAGTGCAAATATTGTCGTACAAACCATTATATTGTGGTAATGTTTCTAGAGCAAGAGCAATACACGATAACAAGATCATCGAGATCGAGACAATATTAATAATTTTTGCCGAGAAGGAATATTGTGGATACTCCATATTTGCCCACAAATGTCGGCGTAAACGATTTCGAGGTAAGTGAATTTTTCTTGCTTCTTTAAGGTTCTCATCAGTTCGTACTTGTTGTAATGCTTCCAAACCCAATTCAAAAAATGTTACTTCGTCTAAAAATGTGTCTAATGGAACGGCCTGTGGTCGTCTGAGGCGTCCTTGTGACTGATAATAATACAATATTGAATGAAACGAACCCTGATGACGATCAAAAAAATATTCATTACGAGCTTTGTCGTAATACGGTTTCAGTTTTTTGCTGTTACCCAATAGTGTATTTGGATATAACTCCAATGTTGATCTGTGTGTCTCGAAATGTCCGCCCGACACATTGATATGAACACGATTTTGTACTAATGTGCCATTTTTTGTCGTTTTCGCTTTAAGATGCGCTTGTCGTTTTGTGTTAGTCAAATTTGGAATATTCAGAATATCCCTAAAATGTCAAACAATTTGTATTAAAGCGCTGCTTATACTATGCGTGTTTTTCTGAAAAGCAAGTTCTTTAACCGCATATGTGTGCATTGTACAAGGGGAAAACAGTTGAATTTAGTCCGTTAAATTCAAGTAAATTCAAAATTCATCTGAATTCACTCAAATTCAGCCAAATTCATCCGTAAATTCCTAAAAAGATCAAGGAAGTTTTACTTAAATTGAACGAGAGTCACAGAGAGAGATGCTGGCTAACCTCCGAAATCCACCTGATAACGGTGTGGGTATTAAACAAACAATACTGTGAAGAACATTCGTGCAGCAGCGTTTAGATTTCTCTTTGCTTTCTACTATCGACGCCACGAATAACTCCAAAATGATAAAAGATAAAGACTTGCAATTTTCACCAATCGAAAGAAGACAGTTTAGCCTATGTTTTCATAAGCGAAACCCTTTTGCGAAGTCATCCTGAAGACCGGTTTTCTAGGAAATCTTTGGAAAACCACTTGAAATCTCCGGAAGCCGAGATAGAAATCTATCAGTTTGCTTTTATAAATAGATAGTCCAAAGTGTCCTCTCCAAAATTGAAGCTAAGCTAACTCTTAATTATTCCTAGGGCATCGGAATTCCTGAGAGTCCCAGGATCAATATTTCTTTAGGTGTGGTAGTTCCGAAATAAATGCAAACATAGGTAGTCGATCACGCTGAATATCGTGGCAATATTTGTTTTTCAAAGTAGTTCCAAAAACCTGATGAAAATCTATATTAGGTGAAATGACCCATTTTTGCCTATATTGGAGTAGTATTAAAAGATTCATAATCTATTCAAGATCCATCCAACTTATGCGAGAATACCAAGCTGTACTCTATTTTACCTGCTCAATACGATTTTTTACTTGAAGATAGTAAAAAACATGTTTGTACTTCGGAAGATTTCTAGAAAACCTTTTCAAAAACCGAAATATTTTCTGTTGATTTTTAAAGCTTTTATTGAACTGCAGAGTATTAAGCAGGTAAAAACAGAGTAAATCTTGGTATTCTGGCATAATTTGAATGGATCTTGACTGGGTTATGAATTTTTTAATATTACCCAAAAATAGGCAAAAACAAAAAAAGGTCATTTCCCCTAATATAGATATTCACTAGATTTTTGAAACTGTTTTATTTTTCGAATATTTAATTTATATCAGGTTTATATCCGCACATTTCTTTTCCGAATTACCACAATCAAAATTCAGCTAAATTCACTTAAATTCAGTTAAATTCAAGTGAATTCAAAAACGTATCAAATTCAGCTGTTTCCCCCTTGGCATTGTACCTCCTTTTCTAAACGAGAAGAACATGTTGTTCGGAAAATCTTTCATTTTCATTAAGCATATTAAGTTTAAAATGTTGATGATACAATCACAGATGGTGTGAGATATTATTCAATTGTTTCAGTCAGAATTTTGAAGCTGTAAATCCATACCTGGTCTTCGATTGCCCATTCCACCTTCCAAATTCGTTTGCGGATGGACGTCTATTAAAAAAAATAATGTAAATGATTGTATGCAAAAGAATTTAATTCTGATTAAAGAATCTTCAGATATGAAAGGTACTATGTTTATATTTAACGCTGACGTATATGGAACATCCAAAAAACTTCTTTTCAGACTGAGAAATTTTGCGAAAAGTACTAGTTCTTACATGAAAATTTGTGACTGTGGCATTTCCTTGTCTTTTCGTACATGCGTCATTCATTCGACCCGCAGGTGAACTGTTCCGTTATGTGTATAGGTACATAGTTTTTTAGTTAAGCTGTTTCTGTTCTATGAAGTACATTGTGAGGTATTTTTGCTGTTTAAACATACAATGTGCAGGTGTCGTCAACCATGACCATTACTTTTTCTTTCGATTTTTAAATAGATACAAAAGTCCCGTGAAAGATTAGGTAAGAATACACACGATAAAGCATTATTTCTTGGCATCAGTCACAGAAGTGACACGGATAAGCGTTTTATAGAAACAAACATCTTAAAATAACACGGATACCACTTTCTTACATATTATGAACATATTTGCACAAATAGACACGAAACTGAAATACAGTATAAGTACTAGATAAATACTTCATCAAGTATTTGGCAGGTATTAAATCTAAAAATGCTTGACAAGTGCTTAACTCTAGAAAATTTTCAAGTAGCTTACTTGATCTCAAGTACCTTCACTAGGGTGCCTACACATAAAAGCTTCGATATAAAAACAGGTACTGCGAACTTTCATCGAAAAATACTTTATCGGAATTCAATTTTAAAATACCGATTCAGCATATTTTCGACACTTTCGGCTGCATATTTTCTTGATACGGCTATCAGAATTCGGGATTATCTCTTAACATCTGAGTATTTCCAACTGCAGGATTCGACAATACCCAAGGAAGGGAGTTTTGCAGTTACAATTTTTTTCATTGTAAAATCTGAGTTCTCAAACTCTAAAGCATGTAGTTCAGCCTTGTTTAGCAAGATGTCGGAACATGTCTTGCACAAGAAGTGTTTATGAAGTTTTTTCTTCTCTGAACAGCTTTGTCCTGATGCTAGACGACATACTGATTCCACCATTCTGATGAAAGATCGTGAGGGATTTCATCGAAATCTGATAGAAGCAAACCCTCATACCTACTCTGTTGAACAGATGGTTAGCCATTTATTGTAGACCATGTAACAAAAGTATTTGTTTCCCAAGTTAAAAGAAGAAATGACAGTGAGAAATCTTGTCTCGTGTCGTAACCTTTTCGTTTCATACCAAAAAAACACTTTCTACAGGCGTTTCGTTCCGTATTGAAAAATGTTTTTAAAAACTATTTGCTGTCATGCTGAGTAAAGAAAATTGTCGTATACGATCGTCATCTATTTATGTAACGCTGATTACATCAGCAATACGAAAAATTAATGAAAAATAAGTTGGAGCCTTCCTGCAATTCTGTAATCAATTATAACGATGTGAAAGAATAAATTTCGTTTCGCCTTGCTTCTCACGAAAAATTACAAGACAAAACCGTTTCACCCAACCCAGCCCTATATACACGTATTAACTCTCTGAAAATAGAGCCGTAAATTTTATGTGTGTGTAGTGGCTTGTACCCCGCTGACGACATATACATATTGTATAACTTGACGACGCTGACGTTGTACTAACTCAAGTCCTGACTGATCGAAACAATTATAGGTTTTTTTTTATTGTAAAACAAAATAATCCGTTTTACAATATCGTTAAATAGGAACTTAATGTTTTTATCAGTAGGTTTAGAAAAATATTAAGTTTTATTTGTTATCATTATGATGACTTTAAGGATAATGCGTATTTGTTTTAAAACTTGTTTGATAAACACTTTTTGTGTTGATGCAGTTAGTCAACAGTATTTGAAAAACTTTTTGCTCATTCTGCATAGTCACTCTCGAATAATGTTGTATCTTATGTTGTTGATATTATTTGTCAATATTCTAATCATAAACATTTTCACACGTTATTTTTACGTTCATTGTACTACTAAGTCGTGCAATTGTACAAACTAGACCTGACACAGTTCATAGTTCCTTGTACTGCAGTTTCTCGATAACGGGAACTGATTTTTCAGTTCGCGTTCATTGAACCGGAACGGTTTTCAGTTTCCATTCCTAGTTCAATGAACGAAAACTGAGAAAACGTTCCAGTTGAAAGAACGGTCACAGGTCTAGTACAAACATTTTTCCAAATCCATCTTCCGACACTGAAAATATGAAAAATCGATGTATTTTGTTGAATAAATGATGATAGCCGAATCAAAATCATTGACGAGATGTGAAGAAAGCTTAGTTTTGTCAGTCATCATCGTAGAATAGTTAATGAAACATAAACAGCAACTACTAGGTGATTTCGTAATAAAAACTTACGTATCTGATGTTTTTGAAAACATTCAGCCAACTTATAACCCTTTCAAAAAAAACTTTATTTATATTCTGAGTTGGTTAAATTACAAAAGAACATATATTTGTTTGAGAGTAATATGTTAGTTTTATCACGATGAATTTGTTTACTCCAAACATTTAAAGACCTAATCTTCATTCCACAGTGAGAAAAGAAAATAGAATCAATGCAACATTGATAGTTGTTGGTTGCATCTTGCTTTTATCATGTACATATCAAAATTAGTAATGTTTGATTCTTTCAAAAAAGACAAATATAGATGGGATATTTTATAGATATCGTTCTAGCGGTTTTTTAAACATTTGTTCTGTATCGGTTAGTCCAGAAATAATGAGCCTCTCAGTATTTTGACTACAACTTTTTTTCTTTTTAACTTCCCAGCCAAAAAAAAAATCAAGAAGAGGAGTATCATGGAGCACTCTTTTTCCCAAAATGAGTGCTCTAACTCAGAAGGAGTACTCCAAAAGCTACAACGGAGTACCCACAAAAAATGAGTACTCCTGAGTGCTGCTTTTTTTGAAGTGCTCCGTAGTACCTCAGCTGCACTTTATGAAAAGGAGTGCTTCGGAGCACTGTATTTCGTGAGGTTCATGAGGTTCTTCTCGGACCCATCCGAATCCTAGCGGAAACCCGAATCCGTCTTTTCCCACTTGATAAATTATATAAATTATATTTGTTTTTCGATAGTTTTAGTTTACAATTCTATAATGGAATATTTTTCCGCTTGCATTCTGAACGAATAAAGTTTAAAATACCTCTAGTCATGACTGGTTCGTAGATAAACAAAACAAAAACATGAAAATAAAACACTGGATCAACTGAAAAACGATCGTATCTCACAGTAGTTTCTTAAATTGTTCATCCTTGACTACCATTGTCTTGAGTAAGTAATCACAAACATTATAAGTATCTTTGCTATAAGAAAGCTGACTTTTTTCTGCACTGAATGAATGCAAAGACACACATAATCCGGCTTGTATCAAATCTTACGGTATTTTGTTTATTATGTGCATTTGTTATTCTATATTTAGTTAGTTATGTGATACTTTTAAATAAAAGATAACAACAGTGATACTGCCAATTTTATACCATTATGGTTACTTTGCTACTCAATGTTTGCTATTTAAGTAAAGTAAGCTATGTAAATGTGACATTCCTTTTAGATGATAAGTTTCATTCAAAGAACAAATATGTTACAAGGCACCACGATTGATCATGAAAAAACAAAAACATCTTAATAGGAACCTTCTTTCAATTTTTGTATTATCAGTGTTTTTATTCATTTTGGTAAGCGTTCATGTTTCGTATGTTCCAATATTGTATTTAAACGCATGTTCATAACTATTATCTTACCCTGTTTTTGCATGCCTTTTCGAATTGTTGTTTTTGTATAACGTTTGTCCACTGTAAGAGCAGAAAGACAGTGAAAAACGGAAAAAATTATGAAATTTTCAAAAATCGAGTAGTATAGTATCTTGACGGAATGGAAAAGTAGCATTCTTGTTTAGATCTATATATTCTTAATTGGCGTTGTATTACCGATATTTTATATGCTATAGAAAACTTAAAAAAGATCAAATTAAATATATACCTGATTTTTGTCATATTTTTATCAACTACAATTTTTTGAGAATGCTTTACATATGTATCTATCAATGTCAGACTTATCTTTTTCGTCGCATACTTTCTCGAAATTTAAATTATTTTCTTCTCTTCTCCTACTCTTCTAGAACAGTTATTCCTTCGCACATGCACATGATCGACGACGGTTAATGATTTTATTCAAAATATATTTTGTTTATATATAGACAAGATGAAATGAGGATTTACTCTATTCACGAGAGAAAGAGAGAGAGAGAATATCCATACTATACGTGTATTCTTATCTCAAAATTTGTTTTTTCATCTATTTTTAAAATTGAGTCAACACTGTGAAACGCTGTCATCAATCAAACGAAAATTGACAAGCAGTTACTGAGAAAGATTTAAATAAAATAAGTCTATACTATGTTATATAAAGGTATGTTTAATGTAAGATCATTTAAAAAATCACAGAACCATATAGAAAGATGAGCACATGTTGATGTCAGCTTATGACCATGTCGAAATAGATGTAGATTCCCTATTTCAAATATACGTCATAACATGTCCTGTAGGAGTTAGACCGCTATAC